AATTTTCTGAACCTACATTCCCTTTGGAGGGAACGGACTTTTTGCCAATTTCTATAATACAGGCTTTTGCCGACTCAAAGTATATGCAAGGTTTGAATTTTATTGAAATTTAATTTAAAATAGTCTATAAAATAAAATAATTATTTAAATGTTTAAACACATTGTCATAGACCTGGACATAATGGCGGGGGTCAATAGAAATGAGGGCTCAAAGCTAGCTTATGAAGCTTTTCCACAACTGCATAGTAATATCACTGATAAAGACTTTGATGACTTGGTGGTCGCCATAAATAGCTCATACCATGGATTAAAACTACCAAATTTGAGACAATTTTATCTCAAAGATGACCACAAAAATCACTCGTCGGATGTGTTAAGGCAAGCGTTTTACGATCTTTTCGGTGATGTTGGCATCAAATGTCCGACATATCTAACGGCCAAACAATACGCCAATTATGCCATCAAAAGTGGTTCAAAAAGTCGTGTTTATATGTATGAATTGACTTATCAGTCTCAATTTGCTAAAATATTGGATTGCGGTGAGAATATGGGTATCTGTCATGAATCGGATGTGGAGTTTGTGTTTGGACTTCCCCTATGGGTCGACAAACTATATCCTAAAACTCATACCCAACTGGACGTGGATTTCAGTTTATATGTCATGAAACTGTGGACTGATTTCGCAAAATATGGGTTAATATAACGAGCATATTTTACAATATTTCGTGATTACCTAGATAATTATATTTAATATTTTGCTTACTATAGTAAACCGGATGACCAATGGCCGCATATATTGGATGACAAGAACAATATCAAAATTAAAGACTTGAATCCAACGAATACGAGTCGAGTATTGGATAATCCATTTGTTGACGATTGTGAAGATTATTGGATCACTTATTATTTAAATTTATGCTAATTGTTATGTATATTTCTATTTTATAAAGGCCATGTCATAGGTTTAGAAATTGTCAATATAATTTTGTGAAATTAACAAAATAAAATAAGCTTTTTAAATGGTATATAAATATCTAAAAATTATTATTGTAACTTAACTAGTTAAAAAGTTATTCACGTTTAAAAATACAAGAATTTCTACAGTTTGTCGTTTATTTTCAGACTACCTTTCCAGCTATTTTTTCAACTTTGAAACAATCCTCTAAATCGATTCCCCATTGAAAAATAAAATGTCAATTTTTAATATTAATCAATTACGTCTTGCCGTAACTTCGTTATTTATGGTCAGAAAAATTTTAGAATGTGATTTTTAGTATCAGGATTAAAAATAATTTTATTTAAAATTATTCCCATATAAAAATAACGTACTTGTTAAAAACGTAATTTATGGATTTTATTTTTTAAAAATTATTTTTTGATAGGGAATTGACCTAGGGCATAAATCCAATTTGTGAAAAATTGTGCTTGTCAAAAATTTTAATTTTCAAATATCACCTTTTTACCATAAGAGACCATAAGGTTTCTCTTCACTTCCCATAAAAAAGGAGGCACAGTGGTGTAGTGGTTAAGGCGTTGGGCTATAGTGTAGTAGTGTGTGAGTTCGAGCCCCGGTACGGAAAGGATTTTGTGTATGTTTTCTGTGTGTTTTCTGTGTCTCCCGAACCCTGCCCAACCAACGCTGCTTAGGACGGCCAACCTAAGTAGTATGGGGAAAGCGGGGCGCAAAAGTGAGGACGAGTTTCTGCCCGAACCCGGGTACCGGTACTTTGGTATCGGTGCCCACCCGGGGGTACCCGCAAGGGTGCTCCCACCCCGGGGGTGCCTGCAAAGGTGCCCCCACCCCGAAGGGGCGTCCGCAAGGATGTCCCTTCACCCCTCGAGTAGATACTCGTCCTCACACGCGATGGCCATTTTGAAAAA